TTTACTTGACACTGGCTGATTGTCCAAATCCAAAACGAACAAAAAAGTAAAACTGTCAGTGTCAAATATGTCAAATTAATTGACATTTTCGGCACGGGGTGGAAACGCCATAGAGTTTGACAGCTCCATAGAGAGTGAATTTTTTTGACAGTTCCGAGAGGAAGTGACTTTTTTTATAGTTGTCTTTTGTATGCGACAATGGTCTTTTGCGTGTCTGGAATCATAGTAAACATTTTCGAATTACAACTTCAACTTTTATTTATAAATTATTTTATTGAATCTATTTGCATTCTATAAATGAAATGATTATTTAAAAGTATATTAATTCAAAGTCGTAATTTTCACTTTAATCAATTTAGTTCCGTCTCAAGTCTACAACTGTGACATTATTAAAAAAAAAACGTCAAAAATTTTCATCGAAAAAACGTGTTTTTCTTAAACAAATTTTATCTAATTAAAATCAATAATTTCTCAATCAATAATAATAAGAACTACATGTGCATGGATTGCCAGTTGGATTGATGTTTGTTTTAAGAAGAAATTTCTCAAGTAAGATATCCACTCGAGAAAGGTTATTGCAGCTTGCAGCAACCTCATGTTTTATCAAGTATTGAACCACACAAAGGATTAAATCTTCATTACAATATCATTCATAACTCCATTTAAATCAATGGAAACTAAATATGGATCGTTTCATGGAGTAACAACATACTTTAGAGTTTGGACCCAAAATACAATACACGTAGGTACATTGCAGGCATAGATTGCAGGACACAGTGAATGATACGTGTTTTATACAGTGAATCTAAGAACCTATTTGTTTCAGGTTAATATCGAACTTATAAGGTGTTAAGCTGCAATTACAATAAAAGTGCTTGCTATGGAATCACCGGTGCTGATCATTATTGTCAACTGTTACTTAAAATCCAGATGAACCAACCTTTACTTCCTATTCAAATAAGTTTAGAAGAAACCTATATAAGCAATAAAACCAGACCAAGAATGCTTGATTACAAACGATGAACTCATTTCATTTGCAAGTNACTTACTTTTATAAATTTTATCGTACATGACGTGATACCCTTGACGTTTACAACATTCGGTCAACATACATCAAAATTTTGGAAAACTTTCGTTAGAGTTACCTCGAAATGGATTCAGGATGGATGAATGCTGCAGTTTTTGGATTATTAGAGTATACTCTGCTCATAAGGTAACCCCGCAAAAAGAAGTCTGCTGGAATGAGATTAGCGCTTCTTAGAGGCAGTGAGATTTCATCCCTGCTTAATTGGTTTGTTGCATTGAAAGGATGATTAATTTTTGAGAATGATATACTGGTAGGCTGAAAGGCTTTTTGATTTTTAAAGCTGCAAAATTCGCAAGGCTATGACCGGAGCACTTGGTTTCACCAAGATGGGGCTACGTGTCACACTTCAAATGAGAGCATTTAGATGGTAAGAGACATGTTCCCACAAAAAAATAATTTCAGGCAGGGTTGACATCTCCTGGCCACCAGGAAGCCCTGATCTCACTCCAGAAAATTATTTTTTATGGTGTTACATTAAGAATAGAGTATACTTTTATAAGGGGAATTATAAAACGAGCGACTAAAAAAAAACTTTGCGACTGATGATGGCATACTGTTTTAATACCTTGAGCGGTATGAATTTGAGTAAGCGAAAAATTTACCAAACTAACGACGAATATTGATCAATAATAAAATCCAGAACGAGCTTACAAAATGTGGGTTTTGATTAATACATTTCAGACATAAAAATACTATCCGGGCGACTAAATTACTAAGTGAGCGACTAGAAATACAGAGAGGGCAACTTTAATATGAAGATACATTACATTTTTCTAATTGAGGTTTTACTGAACGAACTACAAAAAAGTTAATTCTAAGCAAAGTTTTGTGAGCTGCTTTATTAATGACTAGCGGCCGCCCGCGACTTCGTACGCGTGGATCCCGTTTTACCCCCTTCATCTATCTTACGCGGTTTAGATTTTTTCATACAAATGTTTTTTCCAATTTACAAATATTTCATATATTTTACAGGTGGTGAGAAACGTGTAGATCTGGCCTGCTTACAGTGGCTATTGGATTGGACAGAACCAAAGTGAGAGTGAACGTGTGAATTTATGGAGAACATTAAAAACTATTTTACTATAAGTCATAACGCAACTTATTTTGTATGAGTTACATACAAATGTCAAGCCGTGAGTACATTATGTAAAAACTAAAACAATGTACTGTAATCACAACAGTAACTGTAATCTTTTAAAATCCAATAGTTTTAATGCTTATTGATTTTTGTAAACAAAATATTTCATGTTATATTTCATCAATAAAGTTTCATTTGATACTTCAATAGTTTTATTTTTAACCGCAATACATGAAAAGGAACGGATCATAAAAAAGTATGACAGGTATATTTAATCTGTGGGCGGCAGACGCCATATTGTATTCAGCGCCACCTACTGGACAATCTAGCTCGGTACCAGTTTGTTTATCGTATAACCAATACTAGGGCCGTTTCCTATCTGTCTTTAGACATACTCTCTAACTCTCTAATCTGTGATTTTCGGTTCACGGAGATGTAAACAAACTATCGATTTTTATTTTTTCCTACTTTGAGTGTTCTTGTGAATGATAATTTACAAAATGATGGATCAGGAGACCGCTAGAAAGCTTCTCGTTGAAGGTGGTACCTTCGTCTTCCTTGGCGTACCAGAAGAGACGCAATTTGGGATTGATATGCAATGCTGGAACACTGAAGAGGATTTCCGCGGTATAAAGATGATTCCTCCGGGATTACACTACATACACTATTCGGCTGTAAGCAAAGGCACTGGGGATGTGTCGCCAAGGTAGGAAATAACTGTAGAAAATCTTATTTACAAAAGTAAACGCTCACGACAATCTACCAGTTGTAGGCAAATGTAGGTTATTTTCAAACGAAAGTAAAGAAAGCCTACGGTTATTTTAGTTCCCTAAAAACAATACTCGGTAAATGTTTTCCATAGCCATAACATCTGACTACAGAACTGAATCTTTTACAGGTCCGGTTTCATGCATTATTTCCAACAGAAAGAGTTTGTCGTGAAGATGTGGGATAAAAAGGCTGAGGATATAAGCAAAGAAGAAATAAGTGACGAAAGTATTCAACGTCTCAAAGACAATCTCTTCAATATTGACAAACACTTGGCGCCATACCCTTATGAAATATGGCAAAAGTGGAAACTACTTACAACACATATTACAGGTAAATAAATACAAAAGAGATTTCTTTTCACCTACTCTTTAGATTTCATTTTATTGCATCTGAGAAACTGTTTTTATCAGAAATTTTAGAGTACATTTATTTATATTAATAAAAACTGTTTCTTAAAAATTTCAGCTGAACTCGCAGCAAAACTTTCCCCTGAATGTGGGATAATCCGGTCTGCAGTCGAGCTCATGAGCATGACGGATGAGGAAAGACCACGAGGTGCAAAAGGAAAGGTTCCGGAACAAATGGAAAGTCAAGAAGAGAACAGTGAGGAGTCACCACCACCCAGCGACCCACAGGAAGGCTGCTCTACTTCTGGCCAGTCCGATGCTAAGAGGTTCAAGAGGCTCTCCAATGAAGAAAAACTTAACGCTATGTTACCAGACTTAAAACCTACTCCAGGTAACATAAGTACTAGTTACTTTTTTAAAAAATATTTATTTGTCAGGATAAAATTTTCTCTTAAGTCTGCGGGCACGAAACTGGCGAGCGGCGACAATGCATACAACAACATGGACAAAATATGGTGACGCACATCGCCGCCGCTTCGCCGTCGCGTCGCCCCGCCATCGCTCGGCCGTCACCAGTTTCGTGCCCGCAGACATAGACATTACATACTTACTAGAAACTCAAAATACTTGCAGGCACATCCCTACGATTCACGGAGATACCACGTGACAAATTCCCGCCAGGATCCACACCAGAGGAGATCACTAAACACTATTTGGACCAGTCGTATACCTTGGAACTCATGATAGCCGAGCATGAAGAGTGAGTATTATTAGCTTCAGCATAAAGCAAGTATGAAGTCTTCATACTTTGTGAGCATTTTATTATTTGAGGCAGACTACTGACTTATACTTAGTAAACATTGCTTTAAAGACTGCCTCCTAATACCAATTAACGATTAATAGCATTACAACTACATTTTAAATTAACTACATACAATGAACTCTTTTTTCAGACCATTACATATTGTTGGAGAACTCCAGTTTGCTTACCTGTGCTTCTTGATTGGCCATTCTCTTGATGCATTTGAACATTGGAAGAACCTAGTCATACTCTTCTGCTCTTGTGACGATGCCTTAAACAATCACAAGAATCTATTTTTCCATTTTGTCAAAACACTGGAAAGTCAAATAGATGAAATGCCCGAGGAGTTTTTAGCTGACATAGTCATGAACAAAAATCTGGTGTACAAAAAGTTGAGGGAGTTTTTCCGGACAGTGTACACAAGCAATATTGAAGGCAGATTTCTGAACCTTATAAATGACTTCAAACATGGTTTGACTGAGAAGTTTCAATGGGATTTCACAGAATTAGATGCAGATGAAGATGATGAAAGGCCGGTTGTGGTAAAATTGGCTGAAAGTGTAGATGAAGGTGTATAAACATATAAAACCAAAATAGTGCCCAAATTTTATGATGTAAAGGATGAAATCCTATGTTTTAGATGTGTATTGTGTACTGTGTACATTTTATCTATTTTCTTAAATCTTTTACTAATAATTCTAGGACATAAGAAATATAAGATTTAACTTTTTTTTATCAATACTTCTTTATATCAACTAAGTACTTAGATAGTATTCAATCAAATAATGTGATACCTTACCTGCATGCAATATTCACTGACCATTCACAAAGCAATAATATTTAAAATCTTTTACTATGTATCTGAGTATTTTTATGAATTAGTACAAGATGATATTAATGCAAATAAACTACACATAAACGTAAAATTCATTTATTTTATGAATACCCTTATAATTATAAGTCACCGATAACAGTAATTAATACTAAAACATATTAAATTTGTTTATTTCTTCTTCTTAAATTGCTTCTTTGCTAGTTTTTGCGTATTCCTATTTTCGAACTTCGACTTCTTAGGTGGAACAGGCATGTCTGAAAACACAGAGAATATCATGGCTATTAGAACACAAGTTACTATAACTTAATATAATATTACTATTTAATGAATTTTATTAAAAGAAAACAAATGATATTATTTTTTAATTTATGAAGATAACTTACTTATGCTAGGCCTTCGTTGTGGCATCTTTTTCTTGTCCTCACTTTTTATTTGTTTTGCTGCTTTTGCTACAGGACCTTTTGTGGGGATGTGCTTTATTTTTTTGGGAGGCTCCTCTTCACTGAAACAAAATTATTTGAAACATTAATATGAATACTATGTACTTAATGTTGCAATCCTTGGGTTCATGTTATGGGACTTAATAGGTCTATGTTTATTATAATAAAAAAAAGTAAATTAAAAATATGTATGAACTTTTTTTACCAACATAAAGCAATAATGAACATTTGAATATAAATATCCCTCTTTACTGATAGAAATTTACACACTTGAACAGTAGGTAGTTAAAAATGACATCCCATTCTGAAGTCACTTAAACCAGTGTTCAAGCCAGGTATAGGTAACTTTTAGGGAGTAACAATATCTACAACATACCTATCAGATTCCTCAAGGTCATCTGCTTCATCATCATCATCACTGCCATCAGAATCATCACCACTCACATCACCTAGCATTTTCTCAAACTCGTCTGAATCAAAAGCGTATGAGCTGTCACTGTCTTCACCAGATTCTTCTTGAATTTTTATAAAGTTTTCAACAGGTTTGACGCCGGATTCTTTTAATTTTTTCTCTTTCTGATTCTGTTGTTTTATATCAACTTTAACTTCTGGTTTAGGTTTCTTTGATTTTTTAGGTTTTTCTTCAACCTTTGCAGTGATTTCAGGTTTCACATTCGATTTATCGCTTTTGTTTTGGTTAACCAGTTTTTTCTTGTCTTTCTTTACATCAGCAGTTTGTTTATTAGTGTCTTTCGGCTTAACTTCTTTCTTTTCATTGTCCAGCTGAAAAAGAAAGATAATAAAGAAATAAGTATTGTGTATTGTCGATGATACTGAATAAAAATTTTTTCTTTCTTTCAAATAGCTACATATTGAATACATACAAGATATTGCATGACAGATGATTCAAGGATGCTTTGTTTGATTGTATGAAGATATGGTATTTTAAATAACTAAAGATTGGTGATCAATTCTAACCATTTGAAATACATCCTACAAAAATAATATCAAATAATAAGAAGTAGGTAGGTATCATTGAGGCACTTTAAAAAAATGCAAGTATTTTTTTTTATTCAAGTAGTCATAATATTTTTAATACATCAAGCAGGAACTGTTTCAATAATGAGACATACATTTATTTCTGTTATTTGGCCACAAGAATAATTTATATCCCTTTCTAGCAACTTTTTTTACCTTTCTTTTCACAACTTTATCCTCCTGTTTCACTACTGGGCTTGAAAGCAGCTGCAGAAGACTTTCAGGTACATCTACAGGCTCGAATTTGTACTCAATGCCCAAAGCCTTCAACTTATTCTTCTGTTTTGTTAAACTGAAAAGAACATGTGAAGATTATAACATACTGTGACTGAGAAAATAAAATTGGAAAGTACATACAAACAAGCTTTCTGGCACTTTCAAAATCTGTAATTAAAATAAAAAATACATCTTTTTAATTTATTCAACAATATTGCGGGTTTTTTTTTGCGATGAGAATTCAACAATATTGTTTTAAGTACAGTTTTTTTATGTTCATAAAACTTAAGCATAAGAAACTACTCACGTTGATAGAAGTTTTTTGGCTTTTTTCAGTTCACCTTGCTCATCTTTGTTAGCATTGTGAATCTGGAAAACATTGACAAATTAATGGAAAACATTGAAAAACTAAGAAAATTTTACAAAAATGTTTTTTTTATCTACATTTTCAAATGTTTTTCTCTCTACATTTAGCAAGGTCAGCTAAAGTTTAATAAAAAATACCTTTTTTTGTTTAAGTCTTGCTTCACTGCCAGGATTAAATGTGGAACTCCAAAATTTCCTTCTAGCATGAATTCTCTGCTTTTCTGGTGGGATATATGCAGCTGTAAAGACGAAAATATTTAGCAAGCATATTTTTTACAGAACTTATAATGGAATCTACTAATGCTGTGGTTACATGCAATGCAATCCACAGAACATCTGACTATCAGTTTTTTATTATTATTTCATTGTTATTAGCTATACCAAACTTAAATTTCAGGTTATTCAGTATAGACATAACTTTTATACTAGTTTATACCTTTGATAAGCCTCTTTCCCATGAGATAGTTGTTCATAGTTTCCGCCACTATCTCAGCAACAGCCGTGTCCTTGAATTCCACAAATGCAAACCCCTTGGAATGTCCTGTGCGTTTCGATCTGATCACTCTTACGTTGGTAACCACTCCAAACTGTTTGAAGTATTGAGTCATCTCATTCTGGAAATTAGAAAGCAAAATACCATTAGTATTTAGTATTAAGATTAAATTTTAATGATAATAATAAGATCTTTTCATACAGCCTTTTCAAACAACAAAAACGAGTAGTTACATAGTAAATAAATACTACCATTAATGTATCCATGTATCATTTCACTTATTGTTGATGTTTAAATAAATAACCACACTAACCTCATAAAAACCATGTGGTATATGACCCAAGTAAACAAGGCCCCTTTGTGGTCCCTTCTTCTTTTTCTTGGCTTTACCATCCTGTGGCTTCACCACTTCTTTCTCATCATTCTTCTACAAATAAATAATGAAAATAAATAAAAATGTACACAACATAACCTATACTGCACCGCATTGTCACAATAAAAATGTTACCTTTATGAGATTTTTAATTCCTTTTATAGATTTTACAAACTGTTTTTGTTTGCTGGAATCTAAAGCTACAATCTCTTCCATAGTGAAATTGAAATTAACAAATCGTCTAAAATCCAAGTTAAACGTAAGGAAAGAACACGCAAAAGCAAATGAATGATTGAATGAAATCAATCGATTTGACAGCAATGACAGCTGACCTGTTTGACATTTTTTTTTCTATTTTTCACGGCTTTGGACATATAACAGATAAAAAAAACTTAACCCTCAAATTGAGCTAAAACATGAGCTCACTTTTTTAGTTTTCAAACGGTAAAATAGTAGAGGAAGAGAAATCGTCATTTTTGTTTTGACGTTTCTTTCTTGTTTGAGGTTATCTTGCTATGCTTTTGTTGTTTTTTTACCGTTAAAATGTACATACATTACAGAAAACAATTCAAATAAGTTAGTAAAAAAGTGTATAAGCATATTATTGAATCGATACATGAGCAAAAGTGTCTAATTATGTCTACTGGAACGATAAATAACTACATTCAATTTGTGGAACGGGTTTTCCGAACTTGCCAAGGCGAAACCCTCGGAAAACTGCTCTCCTTGAGAGATGGACATGTAGCAAACAGAAACCTACGATCTAGCGACATCGCTTCATTAGTAGAAGGCAACTGTGTGGCGCCTCTCGATGAAATAATTATAGCACATCTTTCGTGTGTAAAAGTAAGTGTTACTTAGTGAAACGGTAAATCTGAGACTATGAACATAACTCAATAATCATAATGTCTAAATTTACAGGCACTGTACATGAGAAATTATGATGAAGCGTATGAGCACCAGACAGCTTGTGTGGCGTCGGTTGTGAGGCTGGTCCAAGCACAACAAGGCGAGAACTGGATTCTGCCACTTCTATATGCTGTCAGTCTGGACTTAAGACTGGTTGCTTTAAAAACAGAAGCTGTTAATCGTAAGGATACCTTTATATTACTGTCTAAACTACAAAACTTCTATTATTATTTATTTTTTCAAATAATTCATTCATATTTATTTATCTTTTGCAGCCACCAATGGAAAGACTTTGGAAAAGGCTGCAGATAGTCTTCTGGCTGGTTTCAGAGTGTGCGTCGGAGACACAAGGACAAATGAGCCATATACCAAAAAAATTGGCATGCTGACTATTGTCAACCAACTGCTGAAAGTTTATTTTTACATTAATAAAATACATTTGTGTAAGCCTCTGATTAGAGCTATTGATTCCACAAATTTGAAGGAGCCCTTTCCACTAGCCCAGCGAATTACGTACAAGTATTTTGTTGGCAGAAAAGCCATGTTTGATTCTGACTACCGCTCAGCTGATGAGCACCTGTCTTTTGCATTCCAAAACTGCCACAGGAAAAGTATAAAGAACAAAAAGCAGATATTGACTTATCTAGTGCCTGTGAAAATGTTGCTTGGATTTATGCCAACCAAAAGAGTGGTATGCAAGTATGATCTGGCGCTGTTTTGGGACTTGGCCTGTGCTGTGAAGAATGGAAACTTGCGAGGCATTGACCAAGTAATGGAGGAACACGAGAGCTTCTTCATCCAGGCTGGTATCTATTTAATTGTTGAGAAACTGAAGATTTCTGCTTATAGAAATCTCTTCCGGAGGGTGTATTTAGCAGAAAACTCCCACCAGATTGAAATAGCCAGCTTCCAAGCTGCTTTGCAGATAATGGGCCATGATGATGTGGATGCTGATGAAACACAATGTATTGTGGCCAATCTAATTTACGATGGGAAAATAAAAGGGTATATTTCATACCAGCATCAGAAAGTTGTGGTTAGTAAACAAAGTGCATTCCCAGCGTTGACCTCATTATACTAAACTTTGTAGATTAAGTAACTTTTGTATGAACCTTCCCATAAATAAAAAACCAATCACATTAAACTTTTTTATTAAATCCACAATATATTTCAAAGAATAATATAAATATAATAAATTTTGCCCATCACTAACATAGCATTATATCCAACAATGCTGCATATATTTTTAAGTCTTACAGTTAAAATGTCTGTGATTCTAATAGAAAGACACAATCTAATCTATTTTTACAGCAATGTCCCTTATAAAATACACAGTTTAAAGTTTGTATGAAGTTGAAAATTGAAAGGCTGCAGTGATGTGCAATGCTGTTCATCTGTTGTTATCTGTGATTGATCTTGCTACAGTATATTTTTAGCTAATTCAAATATCTTTTGCATCATGCATTTGATTTTTAGATATGTTTCAGTGCAACATTTGATATGCATTTAACATATTACTCTAAGCTCTTGTGTAAATTTTCTTTTGTTAGGAAGACATTTCACTTTTTTATAACATAAAAAGATCTAATTGCACATCACCACATTTGAAAATTTATTTGGTAGAAAAATATTACGAAATATTTGACTAGCTATTCATTTATATTCTTTTATTTTTATATATTTTCTTATATTAAACACTTACTAGCTAACATGTTTCTTCTACATGTCGTTAAATGAAGATCTAAACAGGGATAAATACTGTTGAAATACACTGAAATGTTCCTAAAAGCTTAATAGAAAGGCTCTGTATACATATACTTGAAAAGACAATTATATTTTGTTCTACTATAAACTACTAACTAAAAATAACATTTTTTGCCACACTAATCAATGATAGTTTATTATAGATGTCAATATTTACATGCTTTTACTCTGTATTGTAAAGTGCCTATTATTTTCAATTCTACTACTAACCAATTTACTTGCTACAGGAATTGGGAATAGTTTTAGAAATTAAAATTGGTCACATCATCTGTGCCATTTTTTTTTATCCTATCTGTTTTCATTGTTTGAACCACTCTATTACTGCATAACTAAAATTCCTCTATGCTGTACTGTTACATACACACACATACCTAAGTGGCAGTTAAATATGCTGACAACTATAATAAATTGTCAATAAAATCTTATACATTTCATAATATGAAGCATTGAATGAAACATTAAAATGTACTAAAACAACACTATAAAATACATTTTGCCTACAATCAGTTAAATACAATTAAATATGTTTATCAGAATAAAAATGCAAATTAGATAGATACATCACAATTTGTACTGCATAGCTATAATTAGGTATGTGTAACTGACTTACACACTATTGTATATTAGTAATGGAAGGAATAAAATAAATTGTGGAATAAATTTTGTTAAAGAAGTTTGTTAAATGGAAATGCTTAGGTAGGTATACAGTATACCTAATAATGTAGTAGATATAAAATATAGATATTCACTAGTCATGTAGACATGATACTAAGATCCAACGCGATTCCGTGCCTTTTCCATTACATCTAAATCAATCCAGCCTTCGACTTGCCTATCCCTAATTTCAGCAGTATTATGTCCACATAAGAGCGAAAATCCAATAACATTCAACCCACAGTCGCCTTTGCGTTAATCATTATTTCTCAATAATATGGAAACCTAGTATAATCGTACTTGATACAATAGACCATAGTAGACTATTGAAGAATTAACCAAGATTAATATTTCTCTACCATAAACTGTTTAACATTTTCTTACTTGAGAATTTCTCCTATAACGATATTTAATCACATTTTAATACTTTATGATAAATCTCAAATAAAAATATAGGTTTATTACAATTAAAATGTATTTTTTTAATAACAATATGGATAGTAGAGTCATAATATATGTAAATAATATTGATTCATCTAAATTACCTCATTTTGTTTTGAATATTTCTTAACTTCTAATCTCTTATTCCACGTTTACTAATTGAAAGAGAAAAGTTTTGGCTTATTTAATTTTAACATTGGAGGCGATTATATTAATTTTACAATTTAGCTGCCAAACTCAATTCCCCTTATAAATGCCTGCTCCAGAATAAAAGGTTCTCTCTTTATTTTTGTACGATTTTTTTTGGCGGATCGAAATACTCATTCTGGATAAAATCTGTATAGATTTTGGCATAGCTTCTTAATTTTTCATAATTTAGTGATAATGTGACTTCTTGATGATAGTATTTTAAAATTGATAAACCAATTTTGAGTAGGTGCTTTTATGTTTTATTTTTTGGTAACGACCTACTCATAAATTAATTGGAATTTACAATATTTAAAACATGGTTTTTAATCTTCCTTAATTCTGAGTTTTTTTGTTTCGATATCAATTAAAAAGAGTGCAGCTACGATCAAGTTTGATGTTCCGAAAATGTTTAAAGTGGTAGCTAAATACCTACATATAAATAATAACCAGTAACGGTTGATTGACATATTTGCAAAAAAAAAAACCCGTTCAACCGGCAACGTAAAATTCAAACGGCTATATTTGAGCGGCTATGTTTGTCTGGAGCCAAAGACGATTGCAGGCGTTGCCGTTTAGTTCCTCTCAGGGAAAGCGAACTTGTGGAGAGGCGGGCCCTTGAGCAGCTCGTCCTTGTAAGCTGCCAAGATGGCGCGCGACATGCTCGGCTCTGATGCTGAAGCCTCCAGGAATTGCCGCATTAGCCTTGGAATTAAAATAAGAATAATATAAATATATTTGGACAATTTCACACAGCGCCATCTAGGCACAAAGTAAGCATCTATTATGCTTAAGAATATTATGTGTCCAACAAATGTTTGTATGGTGCGGGGTCGAACCCACGAATTTAAAGTTTACCTGTTAGCTGAATTAACTCCGAGACCTTCGCGGGCCTGCAGCAGTTCTGGGTGATCGCCAATCGTGTCGGTTAAAGCGGCAATCATCACATCTGCCAATGAAAAAACCGTTATAATTCAAATTATTACGTATTAACATCTACCGCCTCAGGAGGCAATTGAATCCACGACCTTTCACACGACCAATCGACTTTCACAAGTTTTCAAAAATTTACTTTTAGAAGCTTTATTAAGTTTACGTTTTGTCATTGCGTTAAAAATATACAATTACTGACCGAGAACTTTCTTCTCAATGGTGCGCGAGAGTTGTCCCCTCTCTGCCTCGAGTTCCAAGAAGGCCATGAACCTCTGTGTGGCGGCGCGCGCGCTGGCGGGGTCGTGCGATAGGGATTGGGAGAACATCATCTGGAAACACCAATGTTGCTCTATTATCCATCATAAATTGTATTGTACCTACCTATTCATTCCTTGAGATTTCGATAAACTCTACGCTTAGGCGTGGGGGATTACTTTACTGTGTTAGATAAAACCCGATCGATTGCTCTTCAGCGCGCCAAAATATGTATAAAGATGTTAAGAAATTTTAATAATCCAGGGGTAGGTACCTACTAGTAGTTACTAGTTACACTTACACCTAATAAACAATACCTACTTATAATAAGAAAGGTGACATAAATCTCTTAAAGACCTCTCTGAAGACCACATAAAAGTAGCAGGAAAGCGCTTGGATGTAACTACCAACCGAGCGATGTGGAAATCATCAATCGTACCTACCTATCTTCAGCAGTGGACGTCTTGTATTGTCACAAGACTGAAATGATGATGATGATGCGTTTAGTAAATGTTTCCTTACTTTAGCGAGCTGGTAGATGATTTCCTCGAGAGTGTATTCGGTGTAAAGAGTGTCAGCCGCCTTCAGCTTGTCCATCATCTCCTCGTACTCCTCCTCGCTGATGATCGGGCCATCTCGGTCGTAGTCTGATGTGCCTGAAAGGAATTTTGAACAATAATTAGGAGATAAAAAAGCGACTTTAAATAAAATGTATTTTTATTTTATTTGTCAAAAAGATAATGAAATCCTTTGGGTAGTCATATAGGTTAGTCATATTCGCTTATTAAAAGTAGGTATTTTTGGTAGGTTAATTACATTTCATTTTCATTAAAGTAAGACAGCACATTCATTAATTAGGTAAACAACCAAGAGGTCATCGGAAATTAAGTACCTACCCAAGTATAGAAAGTTCCCACAAAGAAAATCCTAAACAACAATAAGTACTAAAAGGTACTCGTAGTTTCAGCACAAGTTACAATTGCATAGCAAAATTTCGTTGACAAGACAAACATGTCCTAAGATCAGTAGCGGCGTAAGGGGGGGGGGCGGTGGGGGCAGTCCGCCCCGGGTGCCAAGCATCAGGGGGTGACACAAGTCGCGCAGATTAGTACTCACTGGCACATCCTGGGTACCAGGGGGTGCCTTAGGACTTGTGACGGGGGGGGGGGGTGATCGCCCCGGGTGCCAACCCATGCTACGCCGCCACTGCCTAAGATGGTAACACTTACTGATAATGTTAGTCTGCAGCATCGGGTCGTATCGCTTCACGGCCTCTGGCCTCAGGTCCGACGTCACTGGCAGCACCGGGATGGGAGACAGGTTGTTGCTGAGCTCCCAGTTCTTGCTGGCGATGGACCTGATGATGTCGGGGCTGTTCCCGAACGGGAACGACTGGAGGGCCACCGGGTTGCGGTATTGGTACTCCTGGAACGAAAAGTTTTATGGAGTTCTGGGTTATCTCACAAAACTTAGGTACAAAAAATAAACTGGGACATTTCAGGTGGTCTTATCGATTGGAAGGTCTGTTCCAGACTCCTGATCCAAAAAGTTGAGTAGGCATTTTATGTGTTCCCTTGGGAACTTAAAACTATTAAATGGGGGTGTCATTGTATCTTCCAAACTAAGCAAATGTAAATTTTTAATTCATTAATTCCATATCACTGTCGGTAAACCTAGCTACATAAGTATCAAAATCAAATCCTATCATAACCGTATCAAAATCTATTCCCATTTTCCATAAAATCACTGGCCGAATCTTGGCAGGTTTTCCTCATGAAAAAAGCATTTTGGTGTAGTTTCCTATTCAATATTAGTTAGAAATAGGTCGATCACGACACTGAGCCTCTGACCCGGGCAAATCCGTAGTTAATGGAATCACACGTGTGCGTTCACGGTTCGGTGGGCTGAGTCCTGAAGGACTTGTTTATAGTTGGCTCACGTCACTGGCGAGACGGTTTTTGTTAGCATACAAATGAGTAGGTATGAATAAAGTATCGAAAACTAAATCCAGTAGATACTTTTATTTCGTAAGATTTGACGTCTTTTTAAGCGCCTAAGAAGAGGCGTGAACTGTGCTGTTTTGATTCAGTCTTTTGATTATGAAATGATTTCGTTCCGTTGGTTGGTAGGTTAGGATATAAATATTAGCAGACTACACAGTTTCCCAAACTTAATAAAACAAAATTAAATTTTCCTATCGGTTAACTTTAAACAAAGTCCCTTTACCTGTCATAATAGCAATTTAATCTTGTCACCTTTAATGATCACTGAAGAACCCCAAGGGCTTCTCATACCTTACCCCAGTTTAAGAAACCCTGTCATACCAACACAATGGACATTTATGACACAAAGAGTGAAGCCATCTTAACTTATGGCGAGATAACCATCAAAGAAATTGTAAGTGGTAAACTCGCCAATGTTGCCACATAAACCCGTCCTTTCTGCTTGACTGCACTCAAGAAAAAGGATAGTGAATCCTTATTGGATTTGGATGTGTATTGAAAATCACAGACTGGTACTAATGTTTCGCCAACGTGTGACTATTCTTATAAAACTTTCCTTCAGAGAAAATATGAATCTGTTAATATTGTATTAATGTACATAGTTTTTTTATTATTTCGTTTCTTATACTTACCTACCTACTTTCAATAAAAAGATATAAGTATATTTCAAAATTAAGTCCTATTTCCAAATGTTGTACTTTCACTCAAAGAACTACGAGCGAAATGCTACAACGTTAAGGTCTAACAGTTCTTACACACAACTCTTCACTTACAAAATACTCGTATCTATACTTACTAAACTTTATGTTTAAATTCTTTAACATCCAAGTAAAGAAAACCGAGAAAACTTTTGAAGTACGTACTTAGGTAATTTAATCGGATACATTACATAGTACACACATTCTCAATTTATTCTTTTAACCAGAGCAAGTAAACTTTCAATTACGTGGGTAGTTTAAACAAATGTACACATACACTCCCACTTTCAATGTAAAAGTAGGTATACATTTCAAGTAATATCAAAGAATCACACCTCGCCAACGCCTTATCGTTAAAACTCTTCTAAAACACTTTCAATGTTGGAAAAATTCCGATCGAACTTTGAAAAGTCGGGCGCATTTTCCGCGCTACGAGATTTCAAACTGTAAATTAAAGAGTATTGGGTGGGAATAGTTTCCCAACCAATATCCGCTCACGAATAGCTTTCTGAAGTGTAACAACCTTTGCCTTTCGGCTTCTTTGATCTTTTATGAACGTGTAAGTAAACGTTAAATTAGCTTGAAAGTTAACAAGGATTTAATTAAGTAAATCTGCTTTACAACCTTTATTTTGTTACCTATGTAAAATTGTTCGCAATATTAATAAGTAGGTATTTTTATCATCATCATAAAGGTACGGATCACAGCATATAAAGCGGGGTCTCCAGTGCGTGTTTTGTCCTACACAATCAACAGAAAACATAACAACATTCAACATTTTTTGTAGGCAATTTTGTTGAATATTAGATGTTTTTGTTGATTCATCATCATCATTTCTGCCATAGGACGTCCACTGCTGAACATAGGCCGCCCCCAATGCTTTCCACGTTGATCGATTGGTAGCGGTTTTGTTGATTGTGTAGAGCAAAACACGTGCTCGCGACCTGGCTTAAGACTAGGTATACCTAAATTTTTGTAGCAAATAAATATGATGACATGGCACAATTTAGCTTGCATATTCGCCTGTTAGCTGTGTACTCTATGTTGTTAGTTAGTTAATCCAATTTCACAAGGTGCGACTCGAGTAAGCTTTTAACAACAATTAACATTGATGGTGATTGATGGTTTTCAGTTGAACCAGTAACAGAATCAGCCGAAACGTTATCCAACATTTTGTATTTTGTTTTCTAAATAAATCATAGAGCTTACGGCCATTTTAAGAGATCAAAGCTCCGAAACAAATACTTACCTACAATTTCAACGAGCTAAGTATGAGCGATACTAATTTAGTTGGAAATTATTATACCTATCGCCAGTTCATTATGATGACTAGTTTTTATTATTATTACTCTAGAGAGGTTAATCTTACTTTATGGCGTGTGCTCATAAAGAAAATAAATAGACTGGTTTTCAGTGTAACAGTAACAACAGCTATTACCAGCTTATGGGCCAATTTTATTTTCTCAGTGTCAGATAAAAGCTCTAAGCAAACACGAATCATTAATCCAGTAGGCAGTAAAACAAGCTATTTTTAGATTTCAATGAATGTAAATTTTGGGACTTTTCAATCAATTTCTTAGTGTACCTACAATAACTTAATTACTTTAAATACCAATACAAAAAATACTTTTAAGTAGGTATATTAATTTATTTGAAAAAACCGAGCTGTAATAATATGAGATGCGAATGTTTGGCTTTCCCAGCACTCACCCACTTGAAAGATTCTGTTGTGGAACATTTGAAATTGAAAAAGTCTTAGGCCCAGTTTTATGATTCATAGTTAAAATAACAAATTGTTAAATTTTGCTACTAATGGTTAAATATTAACAAAATGTTAACTAATAGTTAAAAAATGTACTAAAAGTCAAGCTAACCATTGTTCGAAAAACATTTTTTTCTGATATTTAACCACTTGTCACTTGACATCTGTCAAATTTGACTATTGGTTATTTTAATTATGAATCAAAAAACTGGGCCTTAGTGATTGATAGAGTTCTGTGAATATCAACATAGTACTCTGTCTGTTTTAGAATGCACCTTACCTTAGCACTAGCCTGCTCCATCAGCATGGCTCGAAGCTTCTCCTGCTGAGCGCTTTCTTCAGCCGCCTTTAGGTTCTGGGAGTAATGTGCCCGGAGATAGTCAATATTGAACTTTATTTCTTGCAGAAATGCGATCGCTTCTTCTTTGGACATCTACGAAAGAAATTAAAATTGTAACCACAATATTCGTATCTATGAGATTGACGCCCGTAGGTATTCACAAGCGATGCCTGCTTAAGTAAAGCAGCAAATCGAACGCACAGCGTTAAATAGAGCTCTGTAATCAGTTCGTGTATCACCCTGTGCGTCCACGCGCACTGTGGGACATCACAGTAATGTTTGTGAATACGGGCGTGAGATGTTTTGTTAACAATTAAACAACAGGGATTTTATCACTGGGAAAACTGGACATTTTATTTACATTTCTGTTAAAAAAAAAAAAAAAATGTTTCAATACGCACTTTTTCGTTCAGGAGAGAATCTACGCTACCTCCTGGGCCCCGATTACGCTAAAAATTTTCATCTACAACGTGGCCGGACGTCAGCTGTTTTGAACAAATCCGTATCGCAGAATCAAAGAAATCGAAGAAACGCGTCTGTATTGGAGACGTTAAAAATTAGCGTAATCGGGGCTCTGTACCTATGATATGAGTAGTCCAGTAGGTACTCGATCGAAACAGCAGTCATTCAAAAAGGCAAGTTGAGATTCGTTGCTAATATTTCAAATGTTATAGCTATGCCACGCTATGAATGCTTAGCCTCGAATATAAGCGTCTCTTAGCTGAATCTAAATCTTACCAATCCCTCCTGAAGGAACTCCTCAATCGCAGTGGTGACTCCCTTCTCGTCTCCCGTCCAGAAGACGTATTCTGCCATGTCCAGAGGAGAGTACTGGACACCAGCATACGCTGAGTAATGATCCATCTGTGACAAAGGGTAAATTAATAGGAAGATCTATGACCATTATCTGGGGGCACGGCAGTGCCCCCACCAAATCGAGCAAAAAAGCGGCACGGCCGTACCATCCTTTTCTCGAAGCAATTCAGGCCATTTTCGACCGCCTGTAACTTCGTTGTGGATAAAACTAGAAGGCTGAATTTTCATTAGCTATGCAGGCATTGTAAAGACACGGTATATTTCAAATTTCATTCAATTTGAACCAGTTGTTTAAGAATTATAACGGGTCAAAGTTTCTTAATTTTGTCACTCACTGACTGACTCACCGATCATCAAAATTCTAAGGCACTTCTAGCAGACCTAGAAGCTTCAAATTTGGAATATAAGTAGTGTTTGGTGTATGAATCAAGGAAAAACTAAAATATTTGGGGGCACGGTAGTGCAACCGCCAAGTCAAGTAAAATTTTTCAATTTCGGTCCAGTTTTCTAGATACATAACTGCTGTCTACAAAATACAAAAAGAAATGAGATCCCATCAAAAACAATACTTGTCAAAAAAACCAAGTAAATAATAAAAATTATTTAGTGCGATGGCCAAGTCAATAATTTATGTAAAACGTTAAAGATTTCCTGGCCTGGACTTGGTATTACATGGATCGCACAACTTTTTACCGTAGAACAACTGAGTTGCGAAACTTGGTTTTTTTGACAAGTATTGTTTTTGATGGGTCACATCTTACTTCTTTACTACTTCAAAACGACAATAGGCATTTACTGGGCCTACCCTAGACTGCATGTGTGATACTTGCGGTAATACCTGCCTGCATAAAAAAATAGGGTAGTGGACACCTTGTTCTATAGTCATACACTACACCCTAGTCAAACATTTTAATATGAGCTATGATATCCAACATGATTCTACCATTTTTGTATAGCAAAGGTGACTATGACATCAGCAAGTCGCGAATTGAATTGACTGTCAATTTATTGATTTCAATGCTCACAATGATACAGTCAATTTGCGAATCGTATCATATCCCCTGCCTTTTGTGCTTTTGTTAACAACAATGTTATGAAATCGCGAAACTTCTACATCCATTTTGGCTATGAAACGATGACATGATGGTCAACCTAATCTAACCGAGTTTGAGTCAAGCTTGATCGCGATAAACAATCTTAAACGATCCAGACAGCTCCCTTAAGGAATTGGGTGTGGGATATCGTAAATCAGCAAAGACAACGGCTAGTCTTATCTATTGTTTGTCCCTTGTGTAGTCGAGGACTGATACTGCCAATAATAAAACAGTTTAGGCACTATCTATCTACATAGATTCACATTTCACACATGACCAAGAAAAACATTCACACAAAAGACAAAAATTATCTTGTTGGGCAATGAACGAGTCAGTTTGTGCTGCAAACTACACTTTGCTGTCAAATAATGGTTCGAGATGTTCTTACAATACTAGGTAGGTACCTATGGCTCCTCAATCCATGCGGACATTTAAAAACAAGCAAAACTCCGCGAACTCATGGTGCAAAAACTGTAGCTAAATCGAGTAAATATTATTCTGTTTGTCCAGGAAAATATCCGGACGAATAGCTAGAGGAAAAAGGCTATAAATAGACAATACAAATACCTACAGTGATATTTCCTTTCTTAATAATCTTCTTCAAATAAAACAAAACTGCTACGTGACTCTTCACTTTCCTAACTGAGAAGAACTATTATTTAGCAATTTTCCCTTTTCCAGGAAATAAGCCCCATTGATCCTTAAATCTCCAGAACTCCAGTAGGTTAAAGACGCCCCTGTTCTTTAGACAAGCGTCAAAACGTGACAGTTGTAATATCGAAATGCTTTCGCTCTTTTTTATATTTACCTAGTTGTAGATCGCTCCGAAAATCCAAAAAAAAAATCGTTTCGATATTCATAGCGATCAAAAAGTACCACTAGTATTCTTCTTCTTCTCGTGTCGACAAGGACAACAAACCTACACAGCGTCAGCCCAAAACTCCGCCACAAGAGTGGCGTGGTCAGTAGCCTTCATTAAATCTTTCTGCGTGCAGTTGCTTGGGCACGCAGGGCACGACATCATGTGCGTCGTCGACTGGGGAACAAAACCACACTTGCACTCCAAGTTTGAGCCATCCAAGAAAGATCGGTCAAAAGAGAGATGCAGGTTATGGCGTGAGAGAGCTGATCTTCCCTGCCACTAGTATTGGGGCTTGATTATACTCACGTTATTCTTAATCTCCTTAGTGATGTCCGCGTTGAAGGCTCGTCGGGCTGCCGTATGTCCGTTCTGAGGGTTGGTAGTAGCGGAACCGGGTTGCACGAGGCGGGCGGCTCCGTGGAACACCTACAACGTACCGGTAGTTATACAGGGTGGAATTTTATAATGCCACCTGGTGAAAGTACTCTTAATACTGTAGATAGAAAATTTTACTCCAAGAAAACATTCCTTTATTTTTGAAAAGAAATAAAACTTGAACCGCCTCTGTGGTCTAGTGGTAAGACCACCTACTTCAGTCAGACGCAGAGGTCCCGGGTTCGATTCCCAGTGGGGGCAGATTTTTCTGTTCGGTTTGGTTGGTGGTAGGGCTTGTTCTAAGTCCACCTGGCTAGCTACCACCATCTTACCTAAGTCTGTCACCATAACAACAATGTTAACAGCATTGTTGTGTTCCGGCAGTTAAAGATAAGATAGCCAGTTCCTCCGTGGTTGAGGATTCCGGGTGAAGCTCGCTTTCACCTTCGGCCTGATCATCACTTACCATCAGGTGAGATACAGGCCAAGAGCTTCCTCTATGTAGATAAAAAAACTGCATTCAAAGATTTCCAAAATTTTGCTTTAGAGTAATTTACCTCCAGGTGGCATTGCAAAATTCCACCCTGATGTACTCCCAAGCCACAAATTCCTTTTAGTCCGCAATAAGAGGGCTACGCTGTGGTGCCCTATCGTGTGCCCTAATATGGCTACAGTAGCCAATCTTGTTGGTAAACGTGCGCGAACAATGACGACACGTTAGGACATCGTTGATGATTGCTATCATTTACACCGGAAGTATGCCTCCATGTGACTGGTTTAATACCGGAAGTTATGGTTGGACATGTGACTACTTTAGTAGTACGGAAACTTTTTTTTAATTCAATTGGATTAGTTTCACCCCCGATTAAACTCTCGTGTTTTAATAATGGTATGAGAAAAGTTGTAATGCACGTAAGTAGGTACTTGAATAGGTGTTATGTTATAAGTGATGTTTACATTAGCTATTTTTATTACCATTGTGCGTTAGTTGTGTAAATTACTTTTTTCTTTAGAAAGCCAATTTTAGATCTTCTACCTATCCTATTGATATTATACTACCTTCTTACATATCATAATATTTGGTTATGAAACCATTTTTAGATACTACCACACGTTGGACGCCAAAAATAGATTTCCCTTTTTTTCATTTTGTTTTTCGATAACAATATTCAAAGAAATATCTTAAAATAGATAATTTACTTGTGTGTTTTATTAAAGCTCGTGACTTTGCCTCCGCGACTAGGCTTATGAAATTGTATCTCTGCTCAATTTTATGGAATCGAGACCTGAGTTATCATTGCGGAAGATGGCAGAGTTCTTAACCTAATTTAATTAAAACGTGACCATTTTGAATTTTCTCGATTAACACCTTAGAGAAGTGGGGGTGGCTGAAAAGCAGCGCTAGGATAGGTAGTCCTTGGGCAGCACAAGCTGAGCCAACTCCAATTCCTTACCTTTTTTATATTCTTTTTTTATAAAATTTATTACAAAAAAGGAAATATTTTCCTTTTTCTTACCTTGGTCGTTATCTCCTCACTAGGCGCAGTGGTGACCGCAACCCCGTCCTGCACGCTAACATGTGCGCCATCTTGGACCAGCACCCGGTGGATGCCCTCAGAAGGCACGTCCAGCTGTGAAGAAGCGTGGACGCGAGGCTTCTCGTCGCCAACCGCGTCTGCTGACGCGTGCTCTTCGAGGCGGGAGACGAGTTCGCCGTTTTCTTTTACTGAATCTGGACAAATAAAAAAATATTTGGTTATTATATTGGAAGTGACAGTTTGGCCAGCAAACCTCTTTTGATATTATTTATGGCTTTTTACTTTTTTTAATATAGTTTTTGGTTTTTGAAGTTACATTTTTTATTTTTATGTCTTGAGCAAAATACACTGTTTTGGACCTTTTGGAGTTTTTCCTTAATAGCTTCTAGCTAGCATAAATAATCACCACCAGCAGGCCTATCTCAGCAATACATATACAGTCCACTCCATCAGCCTTTGACAGGAAGCCTAACTAAAAAGAACGGATGACACCAAATCGGTGTACTGTATGCACTTCCATACATGCTCATCTTGAATAACAGCCTCAAACTACTATCGGCTGACAAAAAATCTGTAGTCTATAAACATGTCAGCATTCAATTTAATTTTTTTGGTGCAACTTGTTGCAAAATAAATCTGTTGTAGAAAGTAATTTAATGACCTACAAATGCACTAACTATAAATACAAATAACCTGCTTTCATAATCCTGCTGAAATGGTCAGCTCTTAAGTTCTTTAGGTGAATGTTGCTGTATTAATTAAAGTAAAGTTTCCTATTACTTTCCGAGGCATTTCCAAAGCCATCAACAGTCAAGACGTTTGCTGTTGCACACGACGTATTTTAAAAGCAATTTGAATATTCATAAGCGGCGCAACTTCAACGGACTTTAGATTAGTTTTCCGTGACGATAAGTATTTTGAATTAAGTACTTACGCACTTTCAAAGGGTTAAATTTGTACTAAAGTTCTGTTAACACGATCGTCTATCGAGGATAACGTGGATTTTTTTTTAAATTCCTTCGCCTTTGGAACAATTTTAATTACTCGCCTTTGGAATAAAAATGTTTGTATTTATTTTGCTGAGAGGAATTGTTTTAATGTAAATTTAATCATCATCAGGTGATCTGACTACTTGTTTGCCTCCTGTCCCATAAAAGATCTAGGTATCTTTTTTAATTCGCAATCCTTGATTTCTTACGGGTCTCATTAAAAAGAAGTGAAATAATTGTTGAAAAGAAATCTAATTGTTTTATCTTCATTCGTAAAGAGCTTTTATTTTATTTCTTAGCTTTCCGCCCGCGGCTTCGCCTGCGAGGAATTTTTTCTGTCACAGAAAAACTTTATCGCCCGTGTCCCTGTTTCAAAAACCGGGATAACTATCATATGTCCTTTCCCGGGACTTAAACTATCTCTATGCCAAATTTCATCAAAATCGGTTCAGTGGTTTAGGCGTGAAGGCAAGACAGACAGACAGAGTTACTTTCGCATTTATAATATTAGTATATATTTATTTTAAATCACTTCAGCTTTATTAACTCGTTTCAGGCTTTGAGAATAAAACTTTCATTACCATGATACGGACACTTTAATGCAGAAAATAATTTCATTAGAAGTTGCTATAATCTCTGGAATAAAGTTATCTAGAGTGGTAACTGATACAATATCGATTTAACTCGTATCATTTATCGGATATCGTAATGTAACCTCGAGTGTTACGACATTTTTAACATTTACATATGTATACCCTAACTGTAAGTGGTTTCCGGAGAGTACCCTACATTGGTGCAAAAATCAAAATCAAAAATATTTATTCAATTTAGACCACTTATGAACGTCAAAATACATCTTTTCTTTTTCTTTTTTCTTTCTTTTGACTTGACTACAAAGCAAAATAATGTTGAACCGCGAAGACAGTTTAATATCTCATCATCATCATCATCTCAGCCATTAGGACGTCCACTGCTGAACATAGGCCTCCCCCAATGCTTTCAGTGTTTAATATCTGTTTCAATATATTTCAGTAACTTATCACACTCGTTTTGCTTTTGAAAAATGAACGAGATTATGGTCTGTAAAATTGTATTTCAGTTGAATCCAAATAAAGCTATAACGTAACCCTACCTACTGATATTTTTAATATAAATTTCACAAAGCTGGTATATTGCTTTCCATTAGGCAGCTCGGATAATTTAGAATTTTAGATAAACCCCACAATCTTTTATGAGATAGCGATAAAAATATATACTACGTCGTAGATTTAAACTAAGCCATAATTCGTAAAACCTAAATTTTGTTAAAACATTTTAGACGAATAAACCGAACGCGCGTTTGTGCAAACTGAGGGTCCCTAGAGTGAACAGCGCCTCTCGGCAATATTTGTTACGTCATATTCTATTTAATAAAGATAAAGGTACCTATTTACTATTTTTTCATTTATATTTACTGTTTTTTCTTGGGAACGTAGCAAAGCGAAAAATAATTTTGTCTAGTTTTAGAAAATAAAACAAACTGCCAAACATGAGGCTCTCTTTCCCGCCCGGAAACCCTTAGGGCTATACCACCATGCCGAAATCATCAAGTAAAGATTCTAAGGGCTATATTTCACCGGGACACCATGGCGGCGCAACCAATCGCCGCTACCAACAAAATGTATAGTCTATAGAAGGTTGCGCAAAGCTGTATACATTTTCTTGGTAGCGGCGATTGGTTGCGCCGCCATGGTGTCCCGGTGAAATATAGCCCTTAGAATCTTTACTTGATCTTTTATTATGCTAGGTCATATAAGTAAGTCTAATTCGTACTTTTTTATGGGACAGGAGGCAAACGAGCAGACGTATCACATGATGGTAAATCATTGCCACCGCCTATTGACACACGCAGCCCCGGGGGAGTTACAGGTGCGTTGCCGGCCTTTAAGGTATATGTATAGGTACATACATTACATTAGATTACAGATTACATTATTTAATAGGGAGTAGCATGTAAATGGGCAGTAGTAAACAATCATCTCCAAATAACTAACTTTTATTCTACTCACCCAGTCTGTGATACTCGACGTGCTCGCTTTTCAAGTCGCTCCCTTCCTTGGATTCCGCTGCAACAAATAAAATGATTTCAGAAGATGAAAGGAATATGGTTATATGCATACTATACTTATAATAATGCTAGAAAATAAGTAGATATCTTGTTTCAAAAGCTCTCACAATTTTTCTCAATATCTCCCTATAATGCAAGTCTTACTTTCAGTAATTCAATACTACGGTGTTAAACTACAAAGCCTTGTAGTTTTGGATTAAAGCCATAAGGGGGCGCACGTTTAGTATGATGCGCTGCATCTACTGTAGCTACACTTATTTTTATCTTTTGCTGGACTTTGTAGGTAGGTACGCAGTTTTTCGTATAAATGGTAATCCAGTTATAACTATGAAATAAGAGAACAAAGACAACTTTTATAGAAAACTGTTTTATTTCGAAGCCTACAGATGTAACCCATTACATAAAGTGCTTTTCTCAAAAATAATAAAACGAAACTAACGAAATCACCGTCAATTAAGATACGATACCTACTCTCAATTTAATTATCCGTTCTTAAAGCAATTTCCTCTGGACCCTTCGAATGACACTATCAATGACAGCAAGTCGATAAGGGACAAACAAACTTGGTCCTTGTTGACATAGGATTAAAATTCAATGTATATTAATTGGAGTGACGTAACAGCCCTTGAGCACATTCGGGATAATGGCCGTCGCTTGTTTTTCTGCTAATTATAACATTTCGAGGTCATTGACACACATTACAGCGCTGTAAAGCTGCTTTTTCAAAGATGTGTGAGGAAAATTAACGGTACAAAGATGTGTGAAGCTGTAAAACATGAAGAGATGTGTAAGGAAATTGAGAAAGGTACTCGTTTGTTACTTCGAACACAATCCTTGGAAAGATTGTCGCCTATCATCATGTGACATTTTTGTACGTACAAAACCACGCTCCACTTAGGTACACGCTCTACTAGAATTCGTTGCCTACAGCTGTCTTTCCCGAAAACAAATCCTTTTCAAGGCTATAGTGAATGAGCACTTACAGGGCAGATAATATGTACCATCCTAGACAGCATCTCACTTAACATCAGGTGCGATTGCGGTCAAATACCTGCCTTGTTCTGCATAAAAAAAGCTGCGTTGAGTGAAGTTAGATAAATGAAGTGTTGTATTGACACTTTTACAAACACATTATTCGTAACGCAATTTTGCAGATTCCTGCCGGAAAAGCTACGGCATCAGGTAACAACTAAGGTGTAAGACATAGATTTTCAAATTGAAAACTACCCTAATAAATACAATAAATTAGGCTCTATACTTTTTTTACGTTAAATAAATAGCAGATAAAGAAATCACTAAATATTCACTCCTCCAAACCAGACGACACGCAACAGACTAGGTGTTAATTGAAGGGCTTTTTATGTGATCTTTTAATTATTATAACTTGATTTTACTTCTGATATCAGAATTCAAAGCCGGCCGGTTTAATCTACAAGGGTTCACAAAAAGCGAAGTAATTTCGCTACAGTGTAAATAATTCTGGCTCGGACAGTAGGTGCCAAAGGGCCGGGTATGTAAAGGCACGTGTGGCGTAGGCTGTGGCCAGGGTTGGCAATTAATTACTCTTTCAATGTGGAAGCCGGACTGATCAACCAATATTGTCCGGGACCCGGGTATTTCGGTTTGTATTACGCGTTCAATACCTAATACCCTTTTAGTGCCCGGGTCAAACTTGTCCAAAGTCCATCCTGGTTAGATCATTAAAAAAATATTAGATAGAGTAGTTAGGTACCTACCTATAGGTATTCGTAGTACGTAACCCAAGACAAGCAGTATTTGACTTCAATTGCAATTTTTTTCTTTTATTCAAATTCTTCATTACAATGTAGGCCATTTTCAAGCAACTTATACAGCTTGGTCTACCACCAGTTCGGAACAACATACCGGCTGGTTAAGAAAAAGAGGCGGAAAAAACTCCCTCACCTTTTCACCACTCATATTGTAATATTATTGTCTTTTTTTATTCTCATATATGTTCATCAGTTTTTACAGTCATCGGTCAGTAACATGAACCGGACCCAGTCTAATCTGGCCGGACAGTCTCGCAAAAAGCCTAACCATGTTCGTATCGTGCCTGACAACCCTGGCTGTGTTCTCGTAAATATTTATGAGATTGCGTAGGTGGTGACCGCTGTCATTAAGCAGGGTGCTCACGCGAGCTTTGACTGAAACCATTTCGTATGCAACGCTACCAAAAAGTACCGTGAATGAAATTAAAAACTAGGGGCGTAGGGTGAGTTTACGTCAAAGTCATTCGGTATCGACTGCTTTAAAAAAAATATGAATATTTTAGTTCTTCAAAGTTTCCGCTAGGGGCGCTGTACAATCCGTCATAGATTTTATGTCAGTTTTTTATGCAGTCGATATCGAATGCGTTTGATAAACGTTTGCGTAAAACACTACGCCCCCTGTTTTTTAGGGTCATAAAAAACTTAAACAACTATAAAGAAACTAACAAAAACAAAGTTTTTAAAATCGTGCCAAACAGGCTTAGTATGTCTACGTTCGTCCCCACAATTAAACGTTGTTTGTGATTCTTTTAATACCTACTCACTTACAAAATTTTAACAGTCTTTGCGTCCAGTTCTTAGTCAAGTTAGAAGTAGTACTTACGTCTACAGAAAAAACTTTGGAGAACTATCTGCCTAAAGGTAAAAACCTCTAATGTTATAAAAGTAAATACTCAAATACATTTCTATACTGTTATGTTTACAGTTATTAACTACCTACTCTATTATAAAGTAGGTACCTGAGTGCAGAAAACATAATTAACCACAGCTAATGTGGTGGTTTGGAACACTTCCGATAGCTTTATTGGAATCCTACTAATATTATAAATGCGAAAGTTTGGATGTCTGGATGGATGTTTGTTACTCTTTCACGCAAAAACTACTGAACGGATTTTGATGAAACTTTACAGTATAATTTTTTATAACCCAGAATAACATATAGGCTATAATTTATGATGATCTGCGACAAACTAAATTTCACGCGGGTGAAGCCGCGGGAAAAAGCTAGTAGAGAATAAATACCTACATCATCAACTTTATGGGTAGATGCTATTAAGCCACCACAATGTTTTGATTGGGTTTTACGAGAAATAATTAGTGTTTCAGCCTGTATCAAATTATAGGTGGCGTCAATGAGGCGCCTTTAGACGTCAGTGTTCTAGTATTTTATGAAAGCGCCAAATCGGAAATCCATTTTTTTAGTTTAATATTAACTTTAAACACAGGTTTCTGTCGTTCTTAATTTGAAAGAAAATTATTTTAGTTATCAAAAAACTGTTATTTATAAACTGCAATCTTACACCAAGCGAAGTTATGTGAATACACCCTAAACATTATAACGAGCACTCGCCCTAACATCTTGGCGCAGCAATATACTCTTTGCTTACTTTCATTATGATGGCAGCGATTGGTATTGTTAGCAAATGAAACAGAGACTGTTCGTTTTGTGTACATAGTGACTGAAAATGATATTAAATCGGGAATTGTTTCACAGCTACTGGCATGTTTCAGTCATAACTATCACAATGGACATTTTAAAATTTATTGTTTTTGATTTTTAAATGTCTTAAAACTGATTCATGACCTCACCAAAGTAGTCACCAGACAACTGATATAAAAAGTATTATATGGCAAATATTTATAAAAACAAGCAGAGATGGGTTCGACCGCAGTCGTAGCAGGCGAAGCTCAAGCAAAGCTATCCATAAGTTTAATGTTCTACAGTAATAGCTTTTTCTCCTCAGCACTGGCCCATTTATTGTCCCGAAGCAGTGATAGGGTTAATACTGGGACGTGACAAAGTGCTTTTTAAAAGCCAATTTGCAAAAATAAATAAGTATTATGAGTTTTAATACACTTTGACGTTTATATTACTCTTTACTGCGTGAAAATGTTCTTAAATTCCTAATTAAAACTGTAGACGCGTAAATATTCTACATACATCAACGCCAACACATTCCACACAAGCGTGTTACTTATATCAAATAAGCTCCCACATTCACCTGGCTCTAAATATAGATCCCACTGACACCCACTCCCTTTCAGGCTCCATTTGAAATTAATCACCTACACTTGATTAATATCTTGTTAACCCTTGATCCGAGCGTCAATATTTTTCCATGAAATCTAATTCGATACGAATGACGCGGTGGTGAGACATCGAGCCAATATTAACGCTGTTCAGGTTTAATAAGTGTGATTTTTCAACAAAAATGGTATTTCAATAGCGAATATACTTTTCATCAAATTAAATACTTTTTTTTTTTATGTGATAGGAGGCAAACGAGCAGACGGATCACCTGATGGTAAGTGATTACCGTCGCCCATAGACACCCGCAGATCCAGGGGCGTTACAGGTGCGTTGCCGGCCTTTAAGATAAAGATACGCTCTCCTCTTGAAAGCTTGCAGGTCGTATCCGTCCGGAAACACCGCAGACGACAGTCCATTCCACAGTTTGGTTGTACGGGGCAGGAAGTTTCTAGAAAAACGTACTGTTGTGGACTGCCAACCATCTAAGTGATGGGGGTGGAAGTGCTGTCGGGTAGATCGGTGGCGAAAAGTGGCGGCAGGAATAAGTCCGGATAATTCTTCGGAGCACTCCCCGTGATACATGCGATAGAAGATGCACAGTGAGGACACATCTCTACGCAGCGCCAAGGGGTCAAGCCGATCCGAAATGTCCTGGCAGTCAACGATTCGAGCTGCTCTCCGTTCAATGCGGCCCAGAGGGAGAAGCTGGTACTGGGGCGCACCTGCCCAAAGATGAGAACAGTATTCCATATGAGGCCGAACCTGCGCCTTGTAAAGTTGCAGACGATGGGCTGGAGTGAAATACCGTCTCGATCTATTGAGCACACCAAGCTTCTTCGAGGCTAATTTAGCCTTACCCTCTAAATGACCACGGAACTGGACTTCGCTCGATATGTCGACACCAAGGATTCCGATATTGGTTGAGGCAGTTAGGGGAGTGCTCTCGAAACAGCGGGATACAAAATAAATAAATAAATACTGCGAACCTTTCATGAATACTTGTGTATTGCATCAATTTCCATACCCGAGAGGCTATTGTGAATTTTTAAGTTCAATAAGGTTTAAATTTTAATTTCCAATGTGAGAGTACGGCTCTTTCTAAATTATTAGAGGCAAATAGAGGATTTTGATTACACTAAGATGACAACACATAAACTAAGTTATCAATAAGCATATCTCTTTGTAGGCCATAGTAAAGGTACAAAGTCGTCTCCTCTGTAGGACGACTCTATCTTATCAGATGAAGTATTTGGCCTACACTAACTAAGATGACAACACAAATAACTAAGTTGATTATCAGTTAACGAGCTCTGTTTGTAGGCCATAGTAACAGGGCAGTACCTAAAAGTGATCTCCCCTATAGGACGACTCTAATTTATCAGAGGCAATGAAGGATTTGGCCTGCGCTAACACAACAATTTAAGTTGATTATCAATTAACAACATAGCTTTGTAGGCCATAATAGCAATTGGTGCCTAAAGTCAATAGCAGCAATCAAACGGGAGCCATTCTAATCCCGGGCAGATCGAGTGAACGGCCTGGGGTGATTGATGATTCAGTAATGACCACTGCACACAATACTGTCGATTTGTTCGCTTACAGTCGTGAATTCAGGGAGGTTATGGATATCCTTAACCGTAACCGAAACTTTCGGATATCCGGAATAATAAAATATCCGAACCATAACCGATTCAAAAGTTTTGGATAATTTCGGATGTAGGCAGAGTCAAGCAAGCCCCACGCTGTTAATGATTGCATTTTGATGTACATGAGTTTTTTCCCCTTAAAAGCTTTTTTGTGAGACCAAAAGAAAGTGACAGATGCCTAAGAAATCTCTTCTGTACCCATTCTATTCGTAAGGCAAAGTTTTATCTCTATTTCGAATAACAGGTCAATTTACATGAATCTAGAATTGTTGCTTAAAACCAGTCCATAGACGGTAATAAACTTTTATCTTCGTACTCAAGTAAAAAACATAAAAGCAAAAACCAAGAGTAAATAAAAAACTAATTTGCGAATGTATGTAACTTACCTTTATGAACGTAAAAGGATAAATAAGGTTAGGTGGTTGCTATAGAGTGGCTTCGAGGGTTTCCTCGAAATAATAATAAGAATAAAGCTGTCTGTCTAGCTTCATTCCTACGCAAAGAAGGATCACTCACGAAAAATATTACGTTATGATATTTATTTGTGGGCTATTTTCGTAGCACAATACCTAATACCCACGCGTGTTCGTCAAATAACTGAGACATCGTACGTGTTCTTTTCAACTCCACTCCCGAGAAATTTTGTTGACGTTTATGAGTTTATGAGGAACCGCGGTACGTCAAATGGCTTCCATTGATCATAGATGAGGATGTTGTAATGTAATTTCTTAGATGTTATTCACCAAAAATCCGAATTAGTTTCGGAAAAACAACAAAAGTCTGTCTATCTGGATATGAATTAGACATTTTTGTTTCAAAGTCTTATAAAGTATTATCGTCTATTACGTATGGAGACATTTGCTTCCCACACAGGTTCTTTACATTATCTTACAAATGTGGATAAAAAGACTGAATGGAATGAAAAAAATAATTAGATTCCACCCAAGACAGAAAATACTAATAATACTTGTATAATTTATGACACATTTTTAAAATACAATAGCAGTTTGACCATTATTGGTAGTCAGCGTCAAATATGTACTTCGTGACATCCAAAGTGGCCAAAAAGTTGATAACAACCTTTTTCCAGTTGTAACAAAGACGTGTTGCGAACTTATTGGCTACTTTGGGTGTCACGAACAATTTGGCGCTGACTGTACCTACTGAAGCGTTCTATTAACACGTCCGATGCCTCTACTCGTACAAGGTCTCTGACTGAACCCGCAACTTACAAAAAGCTATTAATAACTAATTAAACGTCACTCAGCCCCCTCGACAAGGGAAGATTACTGAATAAATCACAAGCCTATGTCGGGCCCATTTGCACATTAATATTTGAATCTAGAGCACTCGGCTCTTGTATAGACTTTCAAGAATACCTACCAACTACTTATTTATTTATTGAAAAAGATACACCAACGACAAAAACGACTTATAGAAAATATAGAAGGAACTTGTCAGGATTATGTTTATCACATTAAGTAACTGAGTTTCGTCTGCTGCGTCTTCTTAGCACATAAGCCGATTGCTGCTGTCGAAGTGATGGTAGAGTAAGCTATATTAAAATTTGACAGATGTAGCTATTATGTGACATGTGTCATAAGTGTAAGTGAATATAGTTCCAAAATACTGGACTGTCCTATCGATGACATTGACAGTGGGGCGCCACCGTCAATACCGGATCGCTGGTTCCGATTTTTGCCATATTGGAAACCATATAGTTGAACGATGGTAGCGCCCCCCTGTCATTGAGTTTGGTGGGACAGTTCAGCGTGGGTCATCTATAGACATGTTAACATCACCAGTCAATTAACGTACTTTTTAAAACTGTCAAAACGAAACTCTCCCATAGATTTTGTATGGCACTACAAGCAAGACGTGACGTCACTATTTTGTCAACTCAATTAAACTACCTTTTTCAATTACAATGCGAACAAAAATCTTAATTTAGAGGTAATTTAAAATGAATTAAGTTTTTAAGACCAGAATGAAGGGTCTTTTTAAAACAGTTGTGGTTTCGAATTATTGGGGTATGGTGTCAAACTGTCTACTGTGAAGTGTAAGATATTAACCTAGCCAGAAATCATCCATGTAATCCGGTATAATTATTGAACCAAAAATGGAAAATTATCAGCATCAAATTTTCTCCTTCAGCTACACACTACCCGGTGCCTACTCCAAGCCGCAAGTTATTAGGTATTTTTATCCTAGAAATGGAAAAGAACGGGGTTCGAAGAAAACTAAGAATGAAATTATAAGAACTCCTGAGATAATTGATAAGTGCCCCTTTTCTATTTCCTATTAGACCCCATAATTGCTTTCTTTTGTTGCTTGAAAGAGACAGCAAACAGGTTTATTGCGAAGACTGGTGCTGACAGCGATTGTATACAGAGTAGATATGTGAATGCTAGCTTATTAGGATTTAGGAAAGGTCGAGGGTTTGTATAAAACTACACTCAATAGTCCGTACCAATGAAAACATACATCGACACGACGGTATCCATTTCATTTGACTATTTTTTTATAAAAAGTACTATTTTCTTTTCGCGTGGACTTATAGGATATTGGGTATCGTACCCGCGACCTATGGCATCGTATTTCGGCAAGCGAACCGCACTAAGGCTGGGTAGCACCATCTTACTTTAACTTTGACAAACGTCAAAAATCTGTCAAACTACATACAAAATACACCGGTCTTCATTATAGTTACGGTTAAACTTAGGTCGCGTAACTCAGCCCAAGCCAATGTAGCCAACATATGTAGACCACTATTAAATCACTGCCCTTCTTTTATCCCCCAGAGATTTAAAAAACACAAAGACTAAAACGTGGTAGGTACGAGTACAACAAACGTTTCTAGCACAGTAACTCATATCAAAAAATAAATACAACTCACCCAATTTGAGTTTTTCTAACTGCTCCACCGGTACGTCCTGGAACAAACGAACGGTCCAATTAAAACCTGCCAACAAATAACTAACTAATCAATTTATAAGTTTGTTTCCAATTTTATAACGATATCGCAGATTTTTTTTAAAGTAATTTGCATCATTCTTTTGCTCTTCTTTTTCATTTATTGGACACTCGTAGTTAATTAGTTTAAACACTAAATATTCATACTAATATCTATCTATACTTCTATACTATCTATACTAATATTATAAATGCGAAAGAACTCTGTCTGTCTGTCTGTCTCGCTTTTACGCCTAAACCACTGAACCGATTTTGATGAAAGGCATAGAGATAGTTTGAGTCCCGGGAAAGGACATTGTTTTTGAAACAGGGACGCGCGCGATAAAGGTTTTCTGTGACAGACAAAATTCCACGCTGGCGAAGCCGCGGGCGGAAAGCTAGTATTGATATAAACTCTAAACGAACATTCTAATTTTATGTTATAGTGTCATTTAGGTAGGGTAATTCCAGGATACATGCCCCAGTGGGATAGGTGCCACGATTTTAAGTACACTATGTTACAAGCAACTTAGCCTAAAGTTATAGTACGTATAATAGAAAGGGACCTCCCCGTACCACTTTTCGCCTCGCAAACCATCAAAGAGTGCGTTCGTTTAGCCAGTGAGAGCAAAAATCTTCCGCGGCCAGACCTTAGCGAGCGTCGAAGTAATATTGGTAAGTATCTTTAAATGGATAATTTTTTTGTCAGCGGTAAAATGAAGCAGATTTTTATATAATTTGATAGACTATCTTATAAATTATACGGGATAGCTATGTTTCATTCGATTTTTAGTGTTATTATATTTTTTACTAAAAAAGGCACCTATCCTATGCTAAAAGGATAGTTGCCTAATTTTTTATGGGTATAGATGCCCTTAGGGCCATGTCCCATGCAACTAGGGGCATCTATCCTAACCTGCTCTTTTTGTCACAGGTAGCAAATAAGAAGAAAAAAAGAATGTAGTACGGCTAACCTTAGGAAAGTAATAAATAGGGTGCCCTTCTGATCGAATTACCTTTTTACCCGACTGCGCTAGAAGGAGTAGTATTATTTTTAATAAAAAAAATTAAATTTCATTTTTAATTCATTTAATAACAAACAATCTTAAATAACAATACTTGGCTTGTTTGATTTCAAAATGTATTTGATCCTTAGAATTCAAAAACTATATTAACAAGTCATCTATCCCTGCATAAGGCATCTATCCTTTGAAGCAATCATACAGTGAGTCTTCTATCCCCCACATTAGGCGTCTATCCCACTTTTTAGAGGTCAATTAAAATGGTATTTACTCAGAATCGGTATAACTTAAACTAAAATAATTATAGTAATATCATAGACGAAAGACCAAAGTTTACAGATACTAAGGTCAAATTGTTGATAAAAACTAACTGACTGAGTTACAGAGCTGTTTCAAAAAGTGGGGCATCTATCCTGGACTTACCCTATCAAGTGTAAGTGGTGTAGTAGAAACTAATCGAGTATAGTTTGGATATGACTTTTTTTACTAAGCTCTTCCAAACTATACACGATCAGTACGCAAAATTCGTGTATAGTTTGGAGTCACAGATTTACAAACGGGCACTACAAAATATACACGAGCAGTTTCCTATGGGTGCGTTCTGGCCATGTATAGAACGGAAAGACGCAGCATCGCAGCCGAAACGTCAAGCCGTGAGTAAATAATGTAACTCATTAATAAACGTTGCGTTAAGACCCGTGTCTTACTATTTTAGTTAAAATGGAACGCGAAAGTTTAAAATCTTATATTTATTGTAATTTAAAGGCAGGTAATAGCTTTAAGGCTATTCAAAATTAGTTTCGTTTAAATCTTAACATACAATTTAATTCCCTTTACAGATTTGTCAATAAAACCCGAGTGTTATTATTCCTATTGTGACAATAATTCCTTCTGTACAATCATACTATATTGTTAGCGAACTATTCAGCGGGAAGATATTAGAATGTCTCTGGATACGTCTTCAGTAATATCAGCAGATTAAACAAAGGATCTGGGAATACGGTGAACCTGAATTAGAACTGCTTTAATAGACAGCAATACGGCATATTATTAATTATGTAGATTCACCTCACCTAGTAGCGCCCGTATCAAGAACATCTCTATTAATATACCTAGCTGAATTCATGGAATTATAATTATAGTGGTGCTAAACCTAATTTTGTTATTGAGTTGTAATCTTTTTATTTTACCGTAGAAAAAATAATTGAAATTGTGCCTAAAGAATGGATAATGAATGGATAACGATTTTGTTTTTTTCCTTACCGACTTTCCATCCAGTCTGCCGTCGACACCTGTAACAAATAAAATAGAAATTAATAGAAATAATTTTGGAAAATTAAACGCAACAATACAACAATTTAGGTAACACTTTCCCATAAAGCAATCTCACAAACACATATTATTATTCCAATTCTTTATTAGTAAGTATGGTAAATGTAGACCCTTTTCAAGGCTTTTTACACGTCCCAGTAACTGAATTTCAGCTCTAATGTTTATCCATTTTAAAAGATTTATTTATTTATAGTTAAAAGATTTTATAACTAGAATCAGACAGACACAAAATCAAGCCTGTGCTTAATTTTTTTAGTTTTTAAATACTTTATTTAGCGTCATATTATCAGAATCCATGGACCTACCTATAGTACCTATAGACTTAAATCATGTTTGGGTAAATGTTGAGAAATATTATTGAATAACATTTATTTGGTGTGGCGAAAAACTTAGGTATAATATTTTCTATCGCCAGACAAGGGAGCTGATGCGATCAATTGTATTAAGCTTATTTTTCGCTCGTGAAAGCTTTGGGGAAAACCTGCCAATCGTATTATGGATCCACTCGCCAAGATGGCTTAAGATATTTAACTTTATTTCTATTTAACACAAGTTTACAATTTCCTAACAAAATTGGAAATACCATAAAGTGATTTTAAAAGCGTGTTCCATCTGGGATCAAACCAGGAATCCAAGAGAGCCCATCTCTTAACCACTAGGCCACGGAGATATCACAATTTTCATTGCGGTTTGTGCAATCAATAAGGAAGGAATTTTCATCAAAGAAAGAAAATTAATCCTTAACCACGTTACCGCCACAAGATATCACAAATTACAGCGGCAACTGTTTGTAAATCATTATGACGTCACGCCGTGCTCACAGGAATTCGATTAGCCCACCTACACGAGCCATCGCCGGTGTATCGCAACATCAAAGGGTAATGACATCGATGCGACCGATATTGGCCACTATCGACTTTTCATCGATATGCCTTTATACAATTACAGCTCAGAAAAATTGCGACCACTCAGAAAAATTGCTTAATACATTTTGTAGCTGTTTAATAATTCTATATGTATAAATCATTGTATGTAGAGCTGTTTTCTAACACAAGTATCTACTTTTACTTAAAAGAAAACCCCAAGCGATAGAGTCAATGAGTGAAACCTGAACTAAAACAATTATGTATTTGCGTTTTTTTGCGAACGAGTCTACGAATTGTATACCTAATTGGGCACTTTCGGCACTTATTTCACAGCATTGATACAATCCCTGGATTCAGCAAAAGACCTGTGAAAACGACACCGAACACTAAAAACAGGATTGAAAGAAATACTGTAAATGTATCGATGTAAAATTGAGCTAAATATTTTATTGTGAATGGTAAAGTAAGAAACGCTTTTAAGAAAACAAGCGCTCGAATAATCGCTTTTGATGAAAGATTGATTATTTTATGATATTCACACTTAATGACACGTCTAAAGAAAGTATTTTCCAAGTCGCCCACTCACGAAAACTCTGAAGAATTCAAACTTCGGAAACAAAAGTTGTATCAACATAAACGCAACGCCCACGGGTACTGAAATACCTACAAGTTTTCGTGTAAATAACGAGCATATGTTTTCGTATCCATGTATCCAGCTACATGGATTGTTTGTGCGGAGTTTGCTTTGAATATAAAATAATTATGCTACTCGTATCCTGTGTTTTTAATACAAGACTACTTTTTAAGTTAATATTTAATCGTTTTTAAGCCACATACTCACACATATTATTTGTCGTCTGAAATAAATGTTATTATTATAATCGAAATCAATGTAGGCGAAGTATGAAGCTAGTAGAGAGTACAAGATTGGCGCAAAATATAGCTATTAATAAATATCCCTGGAAACCTATCCAAGTAAGCGAAATAATACCTACTTATATGACTAAGTGTGGGTTCAGTTCAGGCTGTCAGCCAGCGTTAGAGATGATACTGTGGACATTATTACAATTCAATTTAAAAATAACTTTCCTGAATAATCTTTGTTAATAACAACGTCAGCCGAACAAAGGCCGCTAAATTGTTGTTAACAGAAAACAATAAAAGTGTTTATAAAATAAATGTAAAAGTGAAACAAAATCGGCAACCTATTTTCGTTGCTTTGTTCATTCTAAATATAAAATTGTTCAGAGAGGCTGTTTGACTAACCCGGTTGCTGATATTTATGAAGATAAACGGACTAAACGTTATCGCTGGGGTTTCCAATTATACTTTTTGCTGTTGTATCAAAAAAGTATACAAAATACTGTACTAATTTTCTGTTCCTAGTTCATTTTGTTGTATTCCGGCAGTTGGAGAGTTGGAGCCAGTTCCTCTGTGGTTGAGGATTCCGGGAGGACACCGCTGGATTGATCATAACTCTCCATGAGGTGAGATGCAGGCCAAGAGCTTCCTCGTTATTGTTGTAACACACATTATGACCTTAAATCACCCCCTGAAAGCCCTAGGTTTCTGGCCAAATTATCTTATGCCTGTTTTCACCATCAATTCCTAATTTTTAAGTGAAGGGGTCACTGGATGGATGGTGGAAACGGCCATTAGCCTACTATTAATTTATCACTGTACCTCTTCAATAGATCTGTATATAGACTGTAGAATGTAGATCCCACTTACCATCAGGTGTGATTGTGGTCAAATACCTGCCTTGATAAGCATAAAAAAAAAATATAAGTGTTAATAAATTGTCAAAGGCTGTAAGAAGCTCTAGCGATGTTTTAATAAAGTCAAACAAAAAAACTCTTCTAAAATACTGCTCATATTATTTCTCCGACCTTAATAAACTTTATTGGAAACCCTAGCTATCGACCCTTCCATCAGGCGTCCGATATTCCACGTTATGCTTCATAAGTAGATTATATCATCGAAACACAATAGATTCGCCTACACAACAGATAAGCTCAAAATATTTAGGTAAACAGAAATAAATTCAAGATAAGGCACAAAAGCCGTAACGTTCATTTAGATTCCCGTTTGCCAAATGATGAAAGCATTACGAATATTTTTATATTAAAAAAAATACTACGTCAATGCAAACTACTTTAAGAATACTTGCCTTATGAGTCTGTTTTCTACTCAGGGTTTATTTCATAATAGCTAACACCCGTCTTCTTCTTCTTCTTTTCTTGTCGACAACAAACCTACACAGTGTCAGCCCAAAACTCCGCCACAAGAGTGGCGTTGTCAGTAGCACTCATCAAATCCTCCTGAGTGCAGTTGCTTGGGCACTCAGGGCATGACATCAGGTGCCTCATCGACTGGATACTGGTGAACACCCGTATTCATAAACGATTCTTGCTTAAGTGAAGCAGCAACGCTATGCGAAGTCGAACGCACAGCGTTGAATAGAGCTCTGTGATTTGTTCGTGGGGGTCACTCCGCCACTCAATAAGTTAATATTTTCAGGTACGAAGAGTTCATTAATTTATGAATTCAAAAGGCAACTTCGCTATTGGAAAATAGATTACATTCTTTAGAAAATTCCAACATTCGCAGACATCACAAATTATAAACACGTTATTCACTTTGGGTTGCGCCATTACTTTTAAATTATTGTCAAATCTTGCCATTCTCTGAACCGTAAAATGCGAGTTTCAACCTGGGGAGAGTCCGTAATATGTGAAATTTGGGGAGATCTGCCCGACTAGGGTTCTGTCCTCTCACGTCATAAATTTCAATTATGGACCGACACGCCATTCTGTGAGGATAATTGTAATCTAAATTAAAAGCTTTATGTAAGCTTACTTGCAGGTGTTGGAGTAACTAAATTAACACTGCAACATAAACTGTAATTCAACAAATATGGAGAAGTGGATTACAGTTCCAAACGAATATTTTTATTTATACCAAACTTACAGTGTTAATCTTACTAATAGTTTTTGTAATTATTATATCTGTGCTGGGTCTAAACCACCAAACCACTAGGCGCAAAAACGGCTAAAGCTTCATTTTATACTTTTACCTTTTATGTATAAAAACTGGATAGTTTTGGTTTATCTACGTAAGCTTTTATATGCCGTTTAAATACATCTTCTGTGATTATTAAGGCACTAAGAGAGAATGTGAGTATACTCAACGAGTTAATTACACTAAAAGGAAAAAGTGCCATTGAAACGAGCCCTTACTATTCGGATATTCACCGCTCCATATTCACAGGTCAGTGCAAGGCTGTAGCAATTTTGTATTTAGGTCAATTCGCACTATGACCACCTACAAATGGGCCAAGGCTAATAGTAATTATGATGATATTACGTAAATATGATTTTAGGCGTGTATGATCGGTATTCCCAGAATATGAGTCTGTATGTTCATTAACAAATCCAAATTCATTAGGTACAGTAGGTATATTCCTACACAAGTAAAATATTGTATATACCTATTCAAACAGCTGCGTTCTAATGAGTAGTAGTAATGTAGTTTTGAGTATGTGCTTATATCATTCGAAGAACAGAACTTTACTCCTACTTTGGTGATAATTTCCAAGAAAAAGTTTGTCTTCTGGCTACTGAAAATTTGTCTGTTAAGAATAACTACTTAAATGGTAATAAGCAAATAAATAAATAGATACTTGAGAATACCTTCCCATCTCACAAGGCGAAAGCAATCAAAATATGTATATTGCTTATCGAAATTAATTCCCCATGGATTAAGAGTGATATTGAAGAGCTGCTCAGTGATCACAGGACGAGGTCAGAGTAAACTCCAATCTCCTTGGATTCAATACGCTTATAGTGTTATAATTTACGCCCTTAAGGTTGCACCATCTTACTTTAACTTTGAGAAATGTCAAAAATCTGTCAAACTCCATACAAAAAGCTCCGGATATCGTCATAGTTACCGTTAAAGTTAGGTGGTATAACTCAGCCTCAGTGTCATTGGGTAATTTTGTATCACATTACAAACACTATCTTGTTTGTTATAGATTCGCGACTAAAAATATTTTTTTTTTACGTTTTTCACACAGTACATTGCTGATTAAT